ACATCAGCGGTCAGACGGCTGTAGACGTGGCCCGAGCTTCATGTGTGCCTAATATGATTGACTTGCTTTTCGCTCACATTCATAGTTAGTCAGAAGTGTGGGTGCCCTCTGGGTAACCCCTAACCTAACTTTTTTTTGCTTCAAATCTGGTGACTTGAATTCATTGCTGTGTAAAAGATTATTTTTTTTGTTAACAGTGGCTCTACATTAATGTGTGACACAGGACATATTGTTCTGGCAGCTTATTTTCATTGGATGGGTGGCTATGTACAGTAGACACCTCTTTTGCACAGTGCAATTTAGGCACCTTATATATCTGTTTTCCCTATTAATTGGGAGTGCACATTTGTAGATAGTTTCCCCAGTGTTTTGTAATTATTGCATTATTTCCATTGTGTAACAGTTGATATGTGTTTTTAAAAAACTTTTACAAGACATGACATGGTGCACCCTGATTGCTTTTCATAGTTTTGTTTCTCTTGAGTAGATGAACTTAGAACTTACTCTTATTTATTTTTCAGAATAGGACTGAATATTCCTGTGACTTTGTAAATAGTAACATTTATTGTAACTGGTTGAAATGTTATTTATAAAAAATACTTTAAAATCAAAAGTGAAGATTATTCACTTTACTATTTGAAGAAGAAAACACAAAATAAAGTGTTTTGAAGTCTTGATGTCTTGGTGATCATTTTAAACCGTGTACTGATTTAGCTGCCATGAAGTTTAAGCCCATTTTCAAAATTCATATGTTATTCCTACAGGCTAAGACAGTCCAGAAGTAAAAGTAAACATGAACAACTCTTTCAGATCCAAAAACAAGAGTGCTAAAACTCAAATCTGTGATGTAAAAGTCTGGAGCTGCTCCATAGACAGTGAGTTGGGTAGATGATCCAAATGGCACTGAGAACACCTAGGGCAATGATCTGAGCATATGGGTACATTTTCTGTTTCAAAACTGAGAACACTACAATACACTCAGGCACATTAGGGTATACAAAAGAAAACAAACATTCTTTGGGTCCATAAAATCAGTCTTCTATTCACTGTCTATAGAGCAGCTCCAGACTTTATATCCTAAATCTCCCAAATTTGAGACCTGCTTCTTTGGTTTCTGGCTTGAGAGAAAGTAGCTCATGTTCACTAATACTGATTGAACTTTCATAGGTCATAGAAATAACATTGGAGTTCCTAATTTAGGTGATGTTCTCCTTCAACAAGAAAATCAGGTAAACTGACCTCTGGGCTGTAGCTTCCATCAAGGACACTGGAGTCTATTTGGGACTTAATGACCTCAGCTTACATATGATTTTTTTTTGTTGTTTTTAATTTTAGACTTTCTGGTTGAGAACTATAATGAGAAACAAACAATACTGAAACATAAATTAAATCAATCTTTGATATTCTGGCCTCTCATAAACCACATTAACAACATTTTCCTTGTATATGGCCTTGCGAGACAAAACAATGCATGTCTGTTCTACTACATACTACATTCATCCTCAAGTGTTCAGTACTTTCCCAAGGTGATTCATCAAGGGCATTTATAATAACTGCATGCTGGAATGCACTGCGCAGTGAAAACCCTCTCAAAGGTCATACAGATAGCTGGATTGAAACTCAAAATGAAAGAGGGCCCTGTTGTGTCGAGGCTTGTAGGTAACGGTGGCACAGTTTGCTGATGTTTGTGAGGGCTGCAGTAGTACAATGGGTATTTTGTTTGCTTTTGTCCCACGGGCCAACTTCACCAGCCGAGAAAGGAGATACAGTTCAACTACTGTGCTGCGGGACTGCTGCGTGGAGCCCCATGATGTCACAAAGAGACCACGTATGTAACCGTGGTGTTTACATGTGGTGTGCATCATGTGCATTGCTCACGGTATCGACACATGAAACAATTAAATGACTTAAACTCTGACCACTTTGCTCAATTGTTTGGAAGAAAAATTGGTGGCGGAAAGTAAAGTCACTCAAGTACTGTGCTTTCGTACAATTAGCCTATTTGCAATTTGTGCAAGTTAATACTTTAACTTTAATTTCACAGGAAAATATTGTACTTTTTACTCATCTACATTTATTGGCCAACTATAGTTCACTGCTTAAGAGTTTACACACAGCTTATAAGCTATAAACTATCATCTTATAAGGTATGATTTGTGGTTATACATAAAAGTATCCTGGCAAAAAATAAAGTGGTTCAAATCATTGCAGCCAGATACAGCATTAAAATGCTACTCATAATGCTCACAGGACCAATTTTTATTGAGTACTTTCAAACTTTATGTACATTTTTCTGATCCAACTTCCATACTTCTACTCAGGTAAAATTCTGATTGCAGTTCTTTCACTTGTAGTGGAGTATTTACTTGAATAAAAGCTTTAAATGTTGTTTTAACCCATGCAGTCTGCAGCTTCAAGTTATTTTCACTGCCTGTTTCAGATTTACATAGTCCCACCTATGGAAACCTGCTGGAGCTGAACAGTACAACCACATTATTTGACTTACAGGCACTGAAATACTTCACTAGTGCAGCTCGAGATTTAAATGCCCCCTCAGGAGTACTTCAGCAGTAGTTATTTATTTTACCACCTCTTTTCTCCCAGTTTATCTTCCTTCTCCATCTTTAGTGCTACCACTCCGTTATCTTGTGTCATAAAGACACACAAATACAAATATTGTTTAAATGTATACATACAAAACCGTTGTAAATATGTCAGCCTGAGACAAACCTGCCTCCAGCCACTAGGTAGAGCTCCCTCACTTCACTGAACACAAATATGGGTGTGTTGTTGGAAGTGCAAATACTCCCTATTGTGATTCATTTCTTCTGCAGGTTGGGAGGGTTACAGTAACAGTGACAAAAAGCAGCAAGAGGTGGTAGGAGTAGACAAGAAAAAACAGTATCAACCTACTCCCTCACCCTAATGCACATAGAGGTGTATGGAGATACATGATGATGACCTCCCTGAAGGACAGTTAGGTATGAGTCAAGTTCCTTTCACACAGACAGTGACGAAGGAACTGTTAATCACACCCATGTGACTGAGTGCATGTAAGACATGACAGTTTACACTTCTTTCTTATTTTGATTTTAGACCCCTCTTACAAAAGAGTACCCATTAAACTCCCTTATAGAGCTGCATCAATAAGGTGAAAATTAATTGGCAACTATTATGATATTCTATTAACTACTTAAGTTACTTTTCAAGCAAAAATGCCAAACGTTTGCAGCTTTTTTTTGTATTGCAATTTCGTAAAATGCCTCTCATAGGATGTTGGATTCTATGTCAGACTAACATTTGAAATCATCACCGTAGTCTCTAGAAAACTGTAACAGGCATTCATTATTTTTATTGTGATGTTTTTTGTAGACCAAATAGTTGTAATCTTACAAAATTTAATAGGTCATGAAAATGATTAATTAGTTACATCATCTTCTCTCTCTCTATCATGACAGTAGAGGTAATGATAAGGTCAAGAGTTCGGTCTCGTCAGCCCTCCCAGTCTGTTCGTCTCTTTTTGTTCCTCCCTGAATGTTTTTCTTTGCTGCAGCCTCTCTTCACAGACAGAAGGAATAATTACAGTGACCAATAATACTTTTAATGTCTGCATGGGTGTGTGATGTTCTCCTTCATGGCTGTTTATAATAACCATATCAGCCGAGATAATCACTCAGTGGTAAAATAACCACTTTACTGTCATGCTGAAAACTTGTGGTAACTGTAAACCAGGGATACTCAACTTGCTTTGCCCGGGGGCCACTTTTACAAAATGACAGGACACCAAGGGCCTGTTAATAAATAATAATAATGTTTATCAGTACATGAATGGGTTGTTATCAACCTTTCAATATTTGTAGTCCTCACTCAACTTTTACAAGAGGCTTATCAGTCGCAGCAGCCCCACACTGGTCAGGTGTACACAGGGGTGTTTCTAGAATTTAAGAGCATTTGAGGCTGTTGGGAGTTCTCAGGGATCCTCCCCTGGCACTGTTTTTGATAAACAAGCTCTATTTTGATTCCTTTGGATGCACTCTTGCACCTTATTTACATTAAAACTTAGAAAATGGTCAGCGGGTCATGAGCCGTAAGTTGAGTATCACTGCTGCAAACTGTCTACACAATTCATGCTTCAATTTATTCTATCAAGCTGCAGGGAATCACAGCCTGCAGGAAGTGCATCCTGACATTTTAGACTTTACAGAAACTCTAAAGGCAGGAAGAAGCTTCCCAGTCTGATTTTCCTACTCAAATGTAAATACTGTGTTAGTAGTCTACAACTCTGCCTGAAGGCCCACTCCACATGTACGCCTCTGGCTGCATTTCAGTCTCTAGTCAGCACACTAAGTCTAACAGAAAACACAAAGCAACCCTCCTGGAGACATAACATGTTGTTAGTTATTTCCAGCCAACCCTTAGTCACAGTGATGCAATCTCATCTGTTTGGGTTATTGCTGGTGACATACTTGACTGCCACCTTGAGAGAGGTGAAGAAATAGGTAAATGATTCAAAAAGCACTGTGACGTTTGCTATTCAACCTTCAGATTCTTTGTCTTTTTTGACAACTTTCAGCACTATACTCTGATCAAATCTATCTAAATTGTAAAATATGAAGAAAAATTTATTTCTTAAAACATTGGGAGGTGTGTGGCAGTGTAGGAAGGTCAGTGTGTGCTCCTGTATTATTGAGGTATGTCCGTAAACTCACTGACAGGATCCCATTTTATAACCAAGCAAGCCAGGACATGACTGTGCAGCAGGCAGAGAAGTAGACTAGCCCTGACTGAGGCATGACAGTGCACAGAGGGAACACAGGGGGGAAGGACAGAAAGAATGCAGAAAAGAGTGCACTTGTTTGTTTGAGAGAGACTAAACAGAGGAATTTATAAGAAGAATTAATCCAGTTGAAGGCATTTCAACACCACCTGTACGCTTCATCCTAAAACTAAAGATGAGCAACTACAATGACCTCCAGTTTAGCAACTTTTGAGTCATTTTATTTCTGTGTTTCACTGTATTCAAAAGGCACTTTAATTCATCTGCACCAGAGTATGATATGCAAACTGAGCAACCAGACAAACATGTTTTTAGGTAATTTTACATCTTTCTATTCAGGTGCTTTACAGGAAATCATTCCCAATATTTTACTGTAATAGTTGAATTGTGCTGAAGAGGTAGTAAAAAACTAAAACAGAGAGGAGTAGTATATATATTAGTATATTTGTATGTACAATGTCACCCATCACCACAGGCACCTAATATCCAATATCATCCCAAGGGCTTTTTAAAGACAGTACATTTATCTTCTTTCTTTTGTAAATTAATTACTGCATCATCTCATGCATGCTGAATATCATGCTTACTTAAGTTCTGATTCAGAATCCCATGTTCAGTCTTTTCTCTATTTAACTGTAAACAGAGAGATGAATACCTTTTATTCTCCAACTGAAAGGCTTTGTCTCCCTCCACTCGGTCAGTGTCTGAAAGGGAGCAACATGAGCCACCGCTCTGTGGGAAACACTACTTCATGCATTATAAACCTGTCTAACAGGATACAGCACAGATAAAAAATCCCTTGACTTGTGCTTTGAAGAATCCACTAAATATTAAGTAAACAGTAAAAACGCTGGTCCGGAATGATCTGAAGGTCAAGCCTTGCTTGCTGTATACTTGTTAAGGGTTGAGCCCTTGTCTCCCCCACAGTATCAGTAATCTGGACCTGAATTTAAAAGATTTCTTATTGTATTAGTGTGATTTATACGAGTAAAACCAGCTACATTAAAATCCATTAAAAAGTAAGTAAGGTATTTTCAGGACACCTATAAAACTTTGTAAAATATTTATTTTAAAAAAGGTATTTTTAAGATAAATGCATAAAAACATTTTCAATGTGCAAGTAGATTTCTCACTCATTCACACAGATTTGAACACACATTTCATGATGACTGATTTTATAAATATGTTTTCGAGTCTTTGCTTATTCTTTTGTGATCAGTTACGATTTTGTTTTTCCTTTTCTTGCTGTTTTATATGAGAAAGTCCTCTTAGTGGTATGGATTAATACTCTGTTAATACTCTGTTCTCTCCATGACAGTCTGACCAACATAGACCCACTTTTAAAACCCATCATCTATCGGTCCGATGACAATAAACCTCTGGGAGTGAGGGCCAATATTACAGGCTAATCGGGTGTAGCCAGCGGATATCCAAGCCAGGACTTCCTTTTCTGTGCACCGGTCATTTCAGCTGATCTCTAAAAAACAGATATCTGCATATGAATGCAGATACATTTTTAAAAAAACTTATTATAAAGCTCGTTGTCAGACATGGCCGACTCATTCCGCCTCTCCAAAAGGACTGTTTATCTGCCATTCATGCTTGATTGGTCAGTAGTATTTGGATTACAAATGGACTACAAACAGAAGGTGTATACATATGCAGAATCTGTTTGTAGAGATTACCTTGGACTACAACACCACACTGAGAGAGAAATGAGTCAATGGCAGCCCTCAGCTCCACAAACTCAGCCATTACTCAACCTGCTTCGTACATCTTGTGGCAGCAATTCAAGCAGTTCATCCTCCGCTATCAGTCCACTGAGATTCAGCAGGGGACAGTCCCCTATCTCCACAGGTAGAGACTCCAGACGGTTACCTTTAATCTCCAGCCGGACCAGCTGGGCCAGGCTGGCCACTCTGGAGCTGAGAAACGATAGGCAGTTGTTTCCCAGAGCCAAGGTCTTTAGCCTTTTACAGGAGAACAGCTCCTCTGGCAGTGTTTCTAAAGAGTTGAAAGCAGCGGAGAAGAACTGGAGGCCCTGCAGGATGCCCACCTCAGGAGGGATTGAGGTGAGCAGGTTGTGGGAGAGATCGAGGTGCCTGAGTTTTGTGCAATAAAACAGCCGAGAGGGAAGCTTTCGTAGCTTGTTCCAGCTAACGTCCAGCGTCTCCAGGGTGTGCAGCTTACTGATATGATCAGGGATGTAAGTGATTTTGTTGTTCCACAGTTTTAGTGTCACTAAACGGCTGCAGTGCTGTAAGCTCAGGATCTCCTCCACAGTGGTGAGTTTGTTTTCCTTCAGGTCCAACTCTTGCAGGTTGTTCAGGCTGAAGACAGCACTTGGGATGCGCTCCAACTCGCAGCCCACTAACTCCAATGAGACGATGTTGGTTAGCTTCTTCAGGCTGCTAAAAGCCTGGAGTTTGACACCTTCATTACAGATGCACAACCGCTGCAGCTGCAAAGCAACATCCACTAGGCTAGGTGGGATCTTAGTAAGGTTGGAGCGGAGGACGAGGACTCTAAGAGCTCTAAGCTCTCGAAGGGACTCCAGAGTGGCACTCTTGGACACCTCATTGGTTAAAGGACCGTTCAGATACAACTCCTCCAGGCTATGTAGGGTGTACATCCACATAGGCACCTCTTCTGAACTTTCAAAATCTAAATACAAGACCTTTAAACGTGTCTTGAAATGGTTCAAGGCAGGCAGCTGGAGCTTTGCAGGACAGAAGATCAGTGATAACTCCTTAAGACAGTCCAGCTTTGCCACACTAGCTGGGATGGTCACATTTTTCATTTGCTCCAGTTTGAGCGATTCCACTTCAGGTATCTCAAAGACTGTGTCAGGGAGCCCCTGCAACGATAACAGGGGGAGCTCCAACCGGTTCCTGGCATTCTTGACGAGGCGGGCACGCAGCTTTTTGGCAGTCCACTCATAGTTGAGGTTGAGCTGGTGGAGACGGCTCTCGCTGACCTCAGAGAGAAAGACAGCAAATCTTCTGGAGTAAAGAGAATCATATTGGTCCACAAGGTGAAGGAGGAACGCAAAGTCATTCTTCACGTCTGGTATATCATTAATGCCCGTCTCCAATCGGACTTGCTCGAAGGAGTACTCCTTCAGAGGTCTATGGAACTGCCAGTAAAGTGTGTAGATACACAGAAGTCCAAACACTCCCACGAAGCAGATATAGCAGTAAGCGAGCTTAGAGAAAAGATGGGCTTTGTTGTGATTACAGCAATAGATATCAAAACCAGTCAGCTCAGGAGGAACATAACAGCGCACTACTATCTCAATGTTCGGTACTAGCACTGCAGTGTAGACAATAATCAGAAGGAACTTGAAGACTTTCAGTGATGTTTGTAGCACATACATGACATACAAGATGTCTGCTTCCTCTACATGAGTTCTGAACTTCTTCACCTTTTCAAACAGAGCTTTGGCCTGCTCTCCTTCTTTCTTATCTAAGACAGAGGGGGCCGACTGAGGCTCTGGAATTTTCTTCTCTGGATTAGACTTGACAGAGGAGGAGCGAAGAAGCCCTGTAGTCTCCTCCTCATCTGCTTTTCGGTCAGCTTGATCTTTTGCAACGGTGTTCCGCCTCCAGCTGACCAGTTTCTCTTCTCCTCTTTCCTCAGAAACCTCACTCAGGGCCCTTGTGGTCCAGGGTGAATCAAAGCACTTCCCAAGGATGGTAACAAAGAGGTCAATTTTCGAAGATGTCCCAGGGAACTTGAACCAGAAGCTGCTCGCCACCATGAAGATCAGAGTGTGGATCACAACGAGGTACGGGAAGTACTTTGCGTACCAGTGGACAAACTTCTCATAGCAGTAGTGGTTGACAAACACATACTGGTGGATGTCGAGGCCGTTCTTGCGTCCAGACACCTCTCGGATGATGGGCTTCGCGGGCAAGACCAGTGTGTGCTGGAACGTCGCGTTCTCCCCATAGGTCCTGATGTGGCTACAGTCAATTGCTTGAGGCGTTGGGCTGGTGAAGTGGCTTGGTAGGCAAGAAATCTTGTCTTGGGTGAGCTGTGGAAGATAGATGAATGAAATAACAAATAGGGGGTAATAGTCTGAAACTTGGCCAAAAAAATCTGAATGAACAATGATAACCTAGCCCTAGTCAAACTGTATCCTTTCAACATTTCAATGTACATCAAAACTGCTATTTACTATCAGGTGACAAATCAGAGACAAAATTTGAATAAATAAGATGAAAAAGAAAACAAATGTTGATGCCTTCATGGGAGCATGTCTATGTCTCCAGGGTCCTATGTTCCCATGGTTGTATGTTCCCAGGGTCCTATGTTATCAAGGCCCTAAGTTTCCAGGTTCCTCTGTTCTCAAGCTCCTGTGTTCCCATGTTTAACATTATGTTTTCACATACTTATCCTCCTGTTGTGTTCGGGTTATAAATGAACAAACCTGACCTTAAAGCTTTTTCTTATTTTAATCTGTTTGGAAATGGCAAAGTCTACTACTATTAATTTGCTAACCCTAAAATGTTTAATAATTATTATTCTCTTTTTTTTAATCTTTTGTTTGTGTAATTTCTCTCTTTAACTGGTTAATTAATTGGTTGACAAATGTTTATTATTTTAAATTTGAGCTGAACTGTGTTTGGGAGTTGTTTTCCATGCATAAAGAGTAACTATTGGGCACCCCAGTAGCTCACTGGGTAAAGGACATACCAATAAGGCAGAGTCCAGCGCAGTTTCACAACTCTCAGAGTCATGATTATAGTCTTCTAACCTAACTCTAGCTGATATATATTAGGCAAATACAGTGCTGGGGAACATCTTTTTCAAATTCCCATTATGTGCTGCTGTATAAAGAGCTGGGGAACACAGGACCATGGCAATATAGGACCCTGGGAGAGCACATATGCAGAGCAGGGGAACATAGAACCCCTGGAAAATAGAAATGACCCCATTTGGGGAGTTTCACTGAATGGTCCTGATCTCAACACTATGTATGAACCCAAAACATCATCAAAACACCAATGAGGGATTATGCTCTGAAAGAATGGTCGTCAATAGTGGCTTATTCTCACACTCACAATGTCGTTTTTTTCCTTTATAGGTCACCTGTCCATAATTTGTATCTTCTTACACATTTGTAACAGAAAACTACATTTGTTGGGGACTATTTTAAGTGGCGGTTTAACACACATTTGCTGCTCTAGTGCGTATTTACAGCAGCAGGACGGTGTATATAGGATTGACTTACATTACCATTCCCATGTTCATTGTAATGAAGGAACATGATACCCAGTACAACACTGTGGCTTGCTGTTTTTAATATTTTTAGACAATAATGAAGGTCACAGATGAATACATGATACTCTTGTTAATTTTTAATATGATCAATTTATTGCTAATTTTGATCTTTTTATGGGATTTGGTGACAAACGGAAAACATTAAATTTCATTGGACTTTTAAGTAAAATTGAAAATATCTTGATTTTATCCATATCAACCACTCTTAGTAATAAGAGGAGATAATTCATTAAGACTACTTAAACTTTCTCTCATAAACACTAAATGTTTCTGTCTTTCAGTTTAAGTTTTATAACAAACCTCACTTCAACCTTATTTTAGTAGTGTGTTTTCGGTGAGCAACAGTCAAACTTCTGATCCAGAAAAACTGCTGCCAGTATGTCTTTCTCACTAACGTTGCACTAATCGGGAGAATGGATAAAGCAACACACAACTTTCTCACTCACATGTTCGTGAAACACATTAATATGTAGCTGAACTTATTTTTACATAGTTATTACCACTGATGAAATATTAATTCCTTTAGTTTCCTTCTGTGCTAATTTTAATATGACACAGAAATGATAATGAAGTGGTGAGAGACACATTAAGAAGCAAGTGAGTGATCTGAATCTGCAGTAAGTGGGTCAGGAGAGACAAGTTAATTCACTTACACTGCCTGTGTTTTTCCTGACTTGGAGGTCAGATAATACAGGAATAAACAGAGAGGAGTGTGTGGGAACAAATAATTCCTCTGATATGCCACAGCAGATAGCCTACAAATGTATTACCCTCAACAGGCAGGTTAGATTAGATTAGTAATACTGATGTTTCTAAATCTGTGTAATCTTTTAAGGGTTTAAGAGCTCATGATCAAAAAGTGGCTGGTTTGTTGGTGCCTCACCTGCAAGGTGCACCCAAAGACTCCAATCATAAGCATAGCAACGCACAGGTACTCTGAGAAAACATCCCACCACGGTTTCAGCACCCGGTACTTTGAGTTCTGCTCTATGCCGAAGTTTCTGAATTCACCCACTGGGATCATCCTGGCTGCTGCTCCACACTGATGGAGGAAAAGACAGACTGTGAACACTGAGGCTAAAATTGGCTTTGAACACAGTGCAGTCTCCAGAGAACATCTTGACAAAGGTTTTAAAGTTATATGACACAAAAAGACACATGATGTACCAACACAGAATACACAGGACTATTTGGTTTCATCAAACAGAGACTAGCCTCAGGTATCTATGGCCTTGAATGAGTGAATGAATGAGCGGTGTGCTCCTGTACTGTGGGCGGATTTAAAGTGGATAAACTAGTTTGACAACAATGACAGAAAGCAGCTCCTTCAGGAAATGTTGGTTGAGGTCTTTTTCCTGTTGTTTGTTACTTTAGGTTTCCTGATAATTAGAAAATTATACCTTTAAAAAAGATACTCAAACCGTGTTATTTTACCACTACAACCAAATGTGTTCCTTTGCTTATTGAAGTTTTGATAAAATGTGATATTTGTCACGGATAAACAAATAGCACTGACGAACCACTGCAGCAGAACATGCCAATTTTTTTTAATGGGATTTAATCGTCATTTCAAAGTATTATTTATTTCAAATTTAAAAAAGTTTGAACATCTCATGGTGACAGAGACTGACAACTGAAGACGTCATAGTTGCGAAATCAAATAAACCTCCAGTGTAAAATGTTCATAATTTGCTCTCCGCCAACTTCCATGTCTTCAAAAATAGTTTCAATTTGTTTATAAAGTCAGTTTAAACAGTGCCTAAAATAGAAAAAGAATAAAATCAGTCGTTTTCAGCTGTATCCACGTAAATTTCACTCACCTGCGTCCGCAGACGATCCTCAAGTGTCCGGTGGGACTCAGGAGACTTTTTTCATCGTTCAAGACGAGCGCACCGATGTCAAGTCAGCACGTTGTTAGCACATCCGGACAAGACTTTCAAAATAAACCTCAACAAGCAGGTTCAACACTTCTCTAGCGCTAACTTTACAAACCATACAGTAAATTCCCACTGTAAGGCCTACCGTGGGAAATGAGGGCCTAAGTATATCAACATATATTTAATTACCAAATCTCTTAACTCTTTTGAAAACACACTTTGAAACTTACAGTATCTGCTGTCTTTTTGTGTGTGTGTGTGTGTGTGTGTGGCCTTTTTTTAGCTGTTTCTGGAAAGTTCAACTGAGCAAATTACAAGGGGATATTAGAATAGTTCTTTATGCATATTCATCCAAAAGTATGGTTTCCCCTCACAATAAAAGACCTAACATGAGACACACAAGACAGGAGCCTGTTACTGTGACACTACTGTATAGGCCATAGTATTTTTTTAAATCTCATGTAGCCACTGTAAGGTGAGTTATTGGTGAGACCTACTGAGGATATAATGGTTGGGTTGTGGGTATAACGTACTGAATTAAGGAATATAGATTCATAATATTAATTTACCTGTGTAAAATATTTAATGTAAAGTGTCCATTTGAAATATATTACAGGATATTTTTCCCTATAGGGTACAGTCGCTACAACCTTTTTTTTTTTAACTACTACTAACCACTTCCTTTGTTGACGTCTGCTGTGGTCTTTCAGCGTTTGACAGGATTTTGTCTTGATCCTCATTTAAAACCACATAATCTGGGAAGTTTTACTCTTGGATAATATAATAATGGTCTGTCTCATCCACCTGCCAGGTTTGGCAAGGAAATGAGATGTGTTGGCAGCAGTCATGGGTGGTCGATTTATGGCACAATTACAACAGGTTTACACTCAATGAAAGACAAAATAAAAGGCAAACATACTTTTGACTATTGGCATCTATAGTGAAACCTAGATTGGTAACAGTGATTTATTTATGTGATACACATTTATGATGTGATAACTGATGATGCAGTGAACAATAAGAGAGCTGTGGCACCCTCTGCTGGCCACTGCTACTTTGAAAACCTGCACAAACCTAAATGAATGTTCCAAAATTCTTGACACAAACCACATTAGCTAGATGTGTCGCATCAAAACAAATATTCATGTGGTTAGGGGCAAAGACAGAAAAGAAAAATATGTCTAAAGATCAGAAAAAACAAATCATTACACGACTACAGTGGTACAATAAACATATATTTTACTTTACAATGTATTATTGTACAGGGTATTTTTGCTGGAAAAAAATGTACAAAGCAGACCTTAAATATCCTAATTTCCATTCCAACTACTGACAGAGAGGAAAAAAGTCCCTTTCAAAGTGAAGCTTTTTTTGTCTTTTTTTTACAAACATCCAAAATTAGCATGAACAGGCATTTCTACTTAGTTACAATGCATGCTAGTTATTCAAAAAACACAACACCAGAGTCCAATTCAGTAGAAAGCTGATGTCAGTTCAGAGGGAACAAGAAAACCAAAAGGATCCTGAACAAATAAATAAAAAACTGAGCTCTGAAATTCTGTACAAGACTTCATAGAATATCAATGTACAAAACATCACTTAAAAACCTTTGTAGCTTAAATTGCTGTTACAAATACACTTCTTTATGCAAGTTGTTGTCATCAGTGTACAATATCTGAACACTGATGCACAAACATGGTCACTGTTCTGTTTCTGAGGTCTGGCGGAAGTGAAAACCAAAAAGTCGACTGTAGGGCGGAGGTTCTCCATTGTGTCAGTACGTAGTGTTTTTATAAAAACACGTTCAGTGAGATGTTTGAATCCAGGTTTTTAAATGCTACAATATTCTGTGTCCACTAAACACAGTTGAAACTCGTTTTCCTCGTTCTCTTGGCACACCACACACCAAATACACTGGACCAGACTCTCTGACAAGAAGGAACACTCAATCATTTCCCAACATCATCCCCAAATATTTCACATTTTATGAAACTACCAGTGGCTATTAGTGAAAGAGCACATTTGTTACAATGCAGTTATTTTAAGGCCCTGCTTCTCTTGTACCAGCACTTGAATTTGAGACTTTGGGGCTCATGCAAGAAAAAGATTCAATCCTAAACTTATGTGTGAGTGATTTAAGAGAATTTATGGCAATCACCATTTTTTTTTTTAGGTCCCAGCAGAAATCAGGGGTGGTCCAGATCTGTCATATGAAACTCAAAGGTTCACAGTATCAGTGTGATTTGCATCATAGCTTTCCAATTGACTAAGATCTTGTCTTTAAAGTTGTCTTTTCTTGAGGTTTTCACTGACATTTTTTGTGTTGACAAATTATACAATTCAACAGTTGATGGCAGAGGACTCCGACAGCTGCCTCGGGATATTTACGCAGTTTACAGATCAGGTGAACACCCGACAGTGTAACATCACCTTCTGTTTAATGGAATATAATCTCTCGTCTGAGTGTCATGCTACCCTGACCGCTGCTTCTCATTCTAGCCTACCTTTGAGTGTGTGTTTGTCCTATTCAGGTCCCCTAATACGACGCTGTTGCATTTGTTGTTTGTGTCTGATTTCCAACATCAGCACTTGAAACTCCACAGTGTTAGATTCTTTTCCTTTAACTCCCAGGGGATGATTTTGTGTATGAAAGAGACAGAGCTAAACAAGTAGCTTCAAATAGAAATTTTGAGTGTGCTGATTATGCTTATGTAGGAACCTCACAAATGCGGACCTACTCATGAACAGGTGGCATTCATCAGACTGAAATTTACAACAAATGTGTGCAGTTACAAGTTTGCTGACTCTGACTTGGAACTTGTGTAGATAAAAGTAAGGTTTAGGATGAGGATCCAGAAAATGTTCTTGCATGAGGCCCATTCTCTATAAGCTTCATCTTGAGGCTGTCTGGGTTAACTTTACTAACTTCTACTCACCGCACAGTGACTGTCTGTGTCTTTCCGTCAAAGCACCTCAAGTCAATATACTGATGACAGTTAATGCCCACAGGCATCGTAATGGCACTTTGAACTCTACTGCCTATGCTGACGAATGCTACTTTTTTTGTTTTTTCCTTTTATATAATGGGATCATTTGAATTACTCTTTTTTTGTCTCTGCAGATTTCACTTTTGCTTGAAGCATAAAGAGCCCCTGATGACTCTTTGAGCCAGTAAATGGCCCTCTTTAGTATGCAGCCCTTTCCTCCCGTGGCTCAAACCTGGGAGATGATGGCCTGACTGAGGACTTCAAATACCAGATCTGAAAACACAGACGGACTGAGGTCTCTCAGAATTGGCGGAACAAAATTTAGCACAAACAAATTAATCAACTTTCAGGTCTAGAAAAGTGGACTGTTGGATTTGGGGTCATACTTGATTTGGATAGTCCAAAGTGGACACTCCAGATTTTTTGTTTTGTCACCTTATAGATGACTATCAACATTGCACTTTTAAAATAAAGTGTTACCGATTAATACGTTTTTTTTTGCTTTCACATCAAGTGTGATCTCTAGAACCAGCGAGGCAGCACGTGGTGTTTCAGCTCACCTCTGTCTCTAATCAGTTGTGAGGGTCTTTCTTTTGATTTGGGAAGACAGAGTGGAGTTTTGGGGTGCTCATCTGTGTGTGTGTGTTTGTGTGTGTGACAGGGTTGAGCGATGAGCCTCATGCCCCTTTACCGAAGGGCCCGCCTTGCCGCTGATTGTGGTGAGAGCTAAAACCGGAGTTGGCTGACTGATAGGCCGGTGAGGCACTACCGCTCTCCCTCTCAGACTTCTGACACTGTGGCAATTCTTTCTGGCATGGCTCCATGGTAACGGCCACTCCCACGCCGCTCCGCCCTGACGTCATGTGCGTCACCTCCGACCAGGTGTCCTTCTCAGGGTCATAACACTCCACGCTGTCCAGGAAAGTGTTGCCATCATAACCTCCTGTAAATAGAACATTGACATTTTGTCCTGTGAATATAGTTTTGTCCGATGAAAGAGAACTCTACCATAACACTGTCCGACTCACAATGGACAGTTAAATAAAAAACAGCAGAATTGATGAAGCAGAATAAGAAATGTTTTTGTTTTTTTTTTTAATTTCACATGCCTTACTATAAAAACACACCTGTGAAGTGGATTCTTTCACATGTGAAACCAATTTCACATTTTTAAATAACGTGTTTCACTCCACGTCACATTAACCAAATTTTACATTTGTAAATGACGTGTTTCTAACCAACAACTAGATGTTAACTATTAACTTATTGCCAATTTTTCAAAACCTGAAGCCTATGTTACCCACAATGCAATTCAACTGATGCCAATTTGGTCAGAGATTAAGGTGTGTTATGCTAGTAGTGGTTAATGTAGCCACGAGCTGCTAACTTCAAGCAGAGATGAGAAGAAGCTACAGAGGTCTGGTACACTCACTTTATTTTAATTTCATACCAACAGATTATTTCTAATTTAAACATGAAATCTTAAAAATTAAACTGAAAACAAAAGTGTCTGGATAACAATGTCTTCATTAATATAAGAACAAGTGGCTAAAGTTAGTTGGACTGAAAATCAGTTAGCTGGGCACCACCCCAAAGTCCAAAGCAACTGTTGCTGATTCATAAGACTAAGAGGAGCCATATGTCAGTGGCTCTGATTGTAAATGAAATAAAACAGGTATGACAGCTAAAGTGTAATTTATACACTACTTAAGTTTGGGGCTTTTACTCTCAATAGTTGCGCTACTACTCACCCAATACATAGATGCGTCCATGTAATGCAGTGACTCCCAGAGCACTGCGTCGGTGCCTCATGGAGGCAGCAAAGCTCCACGCATCAGTTTCCACATCGTAGCACTCCACTGTGTTCAGCTGGTTGGTGCCATCGTATCCGCCCATCACAAAGATTTGATTCCCCAGCGCACACACACCTGGAAAGGGGTCAGTGGTTAGTTTGTTCAAGTGTAGTATTAGTTAATCTAGACAAGTGCAAAC